AATCGAAAACCGAGATGTCAAGAAATCGAATAAAAAACTCGTGAAGTCAAAAAATTGATATATCAAAAGTTAAAAAATTAACAAAATTAAAAAAAAGAAATACTGAAAATTCGAAAAATCGGGAAATCGAAAAATCTAAAATTTAAAAAATTGAAAAATGAAAGTATCGAAAAAATTGAAGAATCGAAAAATCGAGAAAACGGAGCATCAAAAAAATGAAAAATTGAAAAATATAGAATTTAAAAATCGACAGTCCAGAGTCGAAAAATCGAAAAACCGAACAATCGAGGATTTTAAAAAATCGAAAAATTAAAGAATCGAGAAAAATCCAAAGACTGAAAATTCCAAACGAAAAATTGGGCGTTCGAAAAGTTGAAAAACGGAAACATCAAAAAATTGGAAAACTGAAAAATCGGAAAATCGAAACATCGAAGGACCAAAGAGTCAAAAAATCGGAAAATCGAGAAATCGAAAAATCGAAACAAGGAAAAATTGAAAGACTCAGACATCTAGAAATGGAAACATCAAGAGATCGTGAAATCGCAGAGGTAAAACTGAAAAATCGAAATATTTAAAATTAAACAAATATAAATCGAAAAATCGAAAAATTCCCAAAATTAAAATGTTGAAAAATTAAGAAATCGAAAACTTGAAAAATCGAGAAAACAAAATCGAAAAGTTTGAAAACATTTTTAAATCGAAAAACTGAGATGTCAAGAAATCGAATCAAAAAATCATAAAGTCGAAAAATTGAAAAATAAAAAAAATTGAAAATATCAAAAATTTAACAATTCGAAAAATTAAAAAAAAAGAAACATCGAAGAACTGAAAAATTTAAACATCAAAAAATCGAAAAATTGAAAAATTTAAAATTCAAAAATCGAAAGTCAAGAGTCGAAAAATCTAAAAACCAAGAAATCGAACAATCGAGGATTTGAAAAATCGAAAATTTATAAAATCAAAAAATTGAAGAATCGAAAAACTGAAAAATCGAGAGTTCGAAAATTCCAAAACGAAAAATTGGGCGTTCGAAAAATTGAAAAACGGAAATATGGAAAAATTGAAAAATTAAAAAATCGAAATATCGAAAAATTGAAAAACTCAAACATCGAGAGATCGAAACATCAAAAGATCCAGAAATCGAAGAGTTAAGGACCATGTGATGTTTTGTTTTTGAAAAAAATTTGAAAGAAATTTAGGGGTTCCCCGTGTCTTTTTTTTTTTTAATTGGAAAGAATGTTCGAGGTCCTTTGTGTTTTACGCTGCAAACGAAGAAATGAAACTCTCAGGCATCCCTCGCATTTTGCTTTTAAAAGAAGCTGAAAATATCTAGGAAACTCTTGGTGTTTTGTGAATGAAAAAATCTGAAAAAATCTCGAGAATCTCGGGTGTTTCGTTTTTGAAAGTTTGAAAGAATCTTAGGATTCTTAGTATCTATCTTTTCAAGAATATAGAAGAATCTTCGAGGTCCCTTGTGTTTTATTTATTTAAGAGTTTGAAAGAATCTTTGGAAAGAAATTGAACAGAATCTTGGGCACGCCTGCTATTTTGTTTTTGAAAGAATCTGAAGAAATCTCGAGGACACCTGAAGTTTTCTTTTTTGAAAAATTTAGGAATCGACAGTCTCTATCTTTAAAAGAATAAAAAGAATCTTAGAGATCCCTTCTGTTTTATGGTTGAAAGGATTTTATAGAATTTTTGGGATTCTTGGTGTCTTTTTTTAAATACCAAAGAATGCCCCTTGTATTTTATTCTGAAAACAGAAAAATTAGAAAATCTTGGGCACACCTTGTATTTTGAATAAAAAAAAAAAATGAGAAAATCTCCGACACCCTGGGGTTTTGTTTTTGAAGAAGTTATCTTTGGGGTTCCTTGTATTTTTTTTTAAGAATATGAGAAAACATTGAGGGCTCTTACGTTTAATTTTTGAAGTAAGAAGAGTACTTCTGGTGTTTTTTTTTTTTTTTGAAAGGTTTTGAGAATCTTCTTGGTTCCTAGTACATTTTTTAAACATATGAAAGAATCTTGTGTTCATTTTGAAAAAAGAAGAAAAAAACCTTGAGCACACTTCGTATTCTTTTAAAGGATCTGAAAAAATCTCGAAGACCACTTGGTGGTTTGTTTCCGAAAACGCTTAAAAGTGTCTTTCTTTTAAACAGTAATATAAGAGAATCTTCGAAACCCTTCGTGTTCCACATATTAAAAAAAAAAAAATTAAAGATATCTTAGGCACCCTTCGTATTTTGTTTTTGAATCTGAAAAACTCTCGAGGAGTCGTGGAGCTTTGCTTTTGAAAAAATTTGAAGAAATCTTGAGGACCGCTGGTATTTTGTTTTTGAAAAAGTTTGAAAGAATATAATACTGCTTTATTTTGTAAAAAAAAATGCCGGACACGCCGTTTAATTTATTTTTGAAAGAATCCCAAAAATCTGGGAGACTACAGGGTATTTCGTTTTTGAAAAAGTTTGATAGAATTTTAGGGGTTCTTGGTCTCTATCTTTTAACGAATATAGAAGAATGTTTTAAAGGCCCCTTGTGTTTTATGCTGAAAACAAAAAAAATAAATAAATAAATTAAAAAAAAAACTTGATCATCCCTCTATTTTGTTTTTGAAGGAATCTGAAAATATCTCATGGATAGTTGGTGTTCTGTTTTTGATAAAGTTTGAAAGAATCTTAGGGAGCTGTAGTCTGTACATCTTTTAAAAAATATAGAAGGATCTTAGAGGCCTCTTGTGCATTATTTTTGAAAAATCTGATTTTTGAGGTTACTTGAGTTTTTTTTTTTAATATAAAAGAATTTTTGAGGTATCTTATGTTTTTTATTCCTGAAAAAAAAAATTGGAAAAAATTTCCGAAACACTCGAGGTTTGTTTTTAAAAAAGTTTGAAGGAGTCTTAGGTGTTTTTTGTATTTTGTTTTAAGAACATGGGAAAATTTTCACGGCTCTTGGTTTTTATTTTTGAAGAAAGTTGAAAAAATCATGGGGACTTCTGGTGATTTGTTTTTAAGAGTATGTGAAATGTCCTCTGGGTTCCTAATGTACGTTTTAAAAATAAGAAAGAATCTTAGAAAACCCTGTCTGTCTATTTGGTAAAAAAAGAAAATTCTCGGGCAGACCTAGTAATTTGTTTTTTAAAGAACCTGAAAATATCTTGGAAGTTCCTAGGTGTTCCTTTTAAAGAATATAAAAGAATGTTCGAGGTCTCTTGTGTTTGTTTTATTTTGAAAAAAAAAAAAAATGAAAAAAAAACCTGGCAGCCCTCGTATTTTGTTTTTGAACGAATCTGAAAAAATCTCGGGAACCCCTTGTGTTTTATTTTTGAAAAAGTTTGAAAGTATCTTGGGGGTTCCTAGCGTCTTTTTTAAAGAATATGTTAGAATCTTCAAGGCCCTTGTCTTTTTCTTTTAAAAAGTGAAAGAATCATCTGTGTCCATTGGTATTCGGTTTATGGAAGAATCTTCAAGTATATTATATTGGAGGAATTTGAAAAACTTTCGAGGACACTAATTGTTTTTGAAAAAATTTGAAGAATCTTCTGAGTTTCCGCAAGGCTGAAAAAAGTTCTGACATAACCAACAAAACGCGAAACACAAGTTTCAATATAGTGTGGATAAAAATGGGGTTGCGAAAGCTCCCTTGCGGCACACTGCCTTTAACTACAAATATGAAAAAGAAATTCACCACGAAATCAAGTAGTGTTTTGAACTTAAATCTAAACCAAAAACCAGGAAATTATTTCCTCTCGGTGGAATAATACAGGCTGCCACGTTTCTCGCCAATATCATCACTTCATATCATTAGTGATGGTTAACAAAGCGGCAAAAAACCGCCTCTTCGCCATTCCACCTTTGCTAAAACCCACAATTAACTCAATTATCACATCCCCGGCGGGCATTGGCGAAATTCCTCCATATTTTTCGTCCGGATTTCAACAAGGTGACGATAGCGGCGACCCAGAACGCCGAGAGCCCGCAAAAACTCACTTTCGTGTAAGTGGGACAAAAGCTCGGTAAGCCACCGGACTTTCATTAGCCGGCGAAGAGCGTCTAGTAATTAACAGATCGACAAATAGGTGTCACTCGGCTATAACGAGTGTTCACGGCGACGTTTCGGCGTGGGCGGCTGCTATCTCCTCAGGGTAGCATTAATCATCGTTCGCATACCATCCTCACGGCTTCCTGTGTGATTATTCATAATGAATACATGCATGATGCATCGGCGACCTAAATAATCTCGATTTTGACAGGTATGAGATTCTGGTTTTAATATGGGATTAAATGGGATGTACTTGAATGCTGATGAACTCACGACCACACGTGTTGTGTGGGGTTACTGAGGGGCACGTTTTGGCGATTGCATAAGAAGGGGCGTTGAAGTATTCAGGTCCGTTGAATAGATGTTTTTCCGAGCGGGCAAGCGCGGAATGCTTTGTAGCTATATTTCAATTCTGAGTTATTCGTGCTCACAGTTTTACAGATGGATTAACCGGTTCGAATGCCTTTTTACAAGAATAAATTGCATTTTACACCGACTTTGTCTTCCCATTATAATTAGATGTCAATTAGAGCTAGATGCATATTTATGACGTTATCCGTTGTGGCTGTGGGGTGTTTGCTTCCACTGAGAAACATTTGCATGTCTTTATACGGAACGATTTCCATTTATTCATGATTAATATATGTATAGTTAAATAATCGTTATGGTTGATTATTAAATAATTAGGGCCCGCGTTAACATCACTGAGGAGTAATTAAAATAATTAATTGGCAGATGATGATAGCTCCGGGTGATAAAGATGATAATTGCCAATACTGAAACGAATACAACTGAAGACAGGAAGAAATTAGATGCAAAATAGCTACTGACATATGTAAATGGGTGAAGACGAAGCTTCAGACAAGGTTTTTGTCTAATTATCGCTCAGCAAGAAAGTTTTTTTACGTCGAAACTAGTTCGATAATGGTTTCTAACATCCAGTGTGTAAAACGAGGACTTACCGCTTCTGATGGAGTCCCGATCGTCTTCCTCATCACTATCTATGTGCGGTATCGACCCGGCAAACTCGAACATCGGACTAGTCTGCATGGAGGAGTCCCTCTTGAGCACCGGGCTCTCGGGCAACCTACACGAACACTGACAGGCACAAGACATCACATCGTCTTCCCGCCTATCCAAAGGCAAATACTGAAGACACTGAGGACACGGAAACGTCAGGTCGTCGAGAGGCACCCTCTCGATGGCGTGCTCCACCGAGACCAGCAGGTTCTGGAGGAGTTCGGGCAGCTCGGCGCCGTCGTAGTCGTCGTAAGAGGTGAGTTCCAGGTCGGCTGCCGAACGCAGGTTTGAACACATTATGTCGTCCAGGCTTTCGAGGGGATTCTTGAATTCGGCTATGGTGTGGCAGTGGATTCGGGAGTGCTGGCGCCAGATCAGGGCCAGCTCGAGGCCTGGGGCGCTGCGGCTTCTAATGCACAGGTAGCAGTCGCTGTTTCGCACCACGGAAGGGTCGAGAGGGCCCAGGTGGATCACTACACCGGAGGGACCGAGGCACAGGGGCCATCCTAGGGGGGCGGAACCGTCCAAGGGGGTCTTGCACTGCAAATAACAAAAATAATTAAAATAAATTCAAGTTTTGGCGATGGATTTAGTTATTTAGTTGCGAATTTGAAAAATGCATGAAAAAGGATCCAACAAAAATGTTAATAAGTTCGGATTCCTTGTGATAAAAAGATGAGAACATCTACATTTTAATGGAAAGTTGTAGATAACCAGTTATAATTATTGTGTTTATAACCATGGAAAAAAGTAATTCTGCCTGAAGCGTGAGAATTACTCACCGAAAAGATTAAGAGGTGGAGACCGCGCCAGGTTTTTTGTGTTGCAAAATTTTAGCAAAAAAATTATCATATTTGGATCTGTTGTGTTCGACCCAGTTGTTAGTACAATATATAATATCCTGTTGTTATGAAACAAAACAAAATTTGACGTGTTGTGGTTGGGGTTTAGGAGAAGCGCTATAGAGATATCAATTTCATTTTAGTTTAATAAATGATTTATGGAAGTACATCCATTTTCAAAAAACGGTATTTCAGTTTTTTCAAACAGAACACAGTTTATTACTATATCTTACTTCAAATTTGTTTCTCTTTTCTCTTAAAGAAGAAGTCCAAATATTAAATTTCAAGCTTTTAGCTAGAAAATGTAAGATGGAATGAACATTAAGATTTCATCCCCTATGTTACACCCTTAGGAGAAGAATTTCAAAAAATCCGTCTTTATAAACTTGCTGTTGACGTTGAAGTTCTCGTTGCAGTTGCTATTTAAAGGGGTTGTAGAAGAAAACTGGAGAATTTAAGTTGATTACTACGAAAATTTGCTATTTTAGACATGTTTTAATTTTCTTGTTGTCGAAATAAGTCTACACATATTAAGAAAAACAAAGCAAAATGGAGCCCCGCCCACCCACCCTATCTCAATTGTGATGATTTTTTTTATTCGTCGGGAGCCAAGAAGGCGGAGCTTAACTGCAAAATCCTTATTTCTCTACGAGAAATTAAAAACATGTTTTTGAGTATCGTGTTGTTCAAAGAATACTACGTATACTAAATTAAAGCCAAAGATATTTACCCTGATCGAAATAGTAATGAAGTTTTCATTCGTTGGCAGACTTAGGGGCGGAGCCTAATTGCAAAATCCACATTTCGTTACAAAAATTTACCATTTTAAACGTCTTTTAAGTGTCTAAGAATAAAAAAAAATCACAATCGAGATGGGGTGGGTGGGCGGGGTTTATATTTTGCCTTTTTTCTTAATACAATAGTATTAACAAACACGATACTCAAAAACATCTTCTTAATTTCTGATATAGAAATACGTATTTTGCAGTTAAGCTCCGCCCCCTTGATACACGGCGAATAAAAAGAAATCATTACATTTGAGATAGGGCGGGTGGGCGGGCTTAGATTTTGCCTTTGTAGTGTATTGAGTCAAATAATTATACCTTAATTTGAAAAGAAGGACAATGTTTCAAGTTTTTTGCCAAAATTGACAAGATCTATGAAGCTGGGTGTAAAAATGGACGTTATTGGAAAAATTTCTGTCAAGTAGGTAATGTAAGAACATTCATACATTTTGAAAAGCAAAAACGAGAAAAAAGGTGATCAGAACAAATTCCAAGCTTCATTTTCCCCAAATCAAATCACCTAACGCCTTGTATGGCGAAGATATTAGATATCATCAACGTTCTTCTTCTTTATAACAATAGCCTATTTTTGAAACTCCGATGCGACGTTGCCACGTTATTCCAATTTTCTTGAATTTTTTAGCATTGCTTTCCAGAAGTACACGTTTTATTTTGGTATTTCGGTGTGCCTTTTAAAAAGGTGAAGAGTTACAGAAACTATGAATCAACTTTAGATAAATAGATATAGAAAAAATAATAAAAAAAGAGAATAAAAAATAGATTAAGATATAGTAATAGTATATATTACTATACATCATAAAACAATTTTGACTTTTTCTCTGGAAAATTTGGATGCCCAAGGTAAAAAACTCGAGGCCGATTCATAACCTACAATTACAGGAGGATGTCATTTTATGTAATTTAAATAGCATTTACTATGCAAAATCTTGAGATAGTGTCATCAAATTGTTGATGGGAATGACTAGGCTAATTTTAGTTATTGTTTTACCATCTACAAGATATTCCTAATATATACAAAAAAATTTAACAACAATCAGAATTATCTGTTTAATAAAAATTGGCACAGATGACACATGACAAATGGAAACTTATTGTTTCAAACTTTAAGCCATGAAAGCAGCAGTTCGCTATTACAATGTTTCTTTAGCTTACCGAGCGAGGAAATACAGAAGAAATTGTTATAAAAACTGACTGTTAGTTAATGAGATTTTTTTACAGAGCGAAGCGAGCTGTATATCTACTACTCCATTTAAAAGCAACCTTCCAAATTATAGTCAATTACGTTTAAAAAATATTAACACATAATATATAGTCCAATATGAAGTAATCATGCGACAAAAATTCAGGAAGTTATTGCTTGAATTATTTTGTCTTTGAATGAATTTCATGTTGAGTAAACACCCTATATATATGTCACGTGAAGTTTTCTCAATATTTTAGTTTTATATATTGCATATATTGTTACGAAAGATACCCATATGTATGTGTTTATTCTGTGTGTACGGCGGTGATGACTCATCGTCTGGGCTGACGAAAACCCTGGAAGCGGAAGTCGCAATGGGCAACCCAGAAAACCCTTGAAACGGCGCCGGCGTCCTCGAACCATCGAGATGAACGTATAGGTTTAAATAGAGATCACCGTCGGGAACGAGGGTTCAATAAATCGAGTCCACGAGAGTACAGTCAAGTTGCGCCGGAATTATAAAGTACATAATCGCTATGTAATAATCAATCGTGTAATTCGAGTTATTAAGAAATAAATTGTTGAGTTTAACCTACGCCGATTTCATTCACCCGTTCAACGTAACAATATTACAGGTATTTTTTTGTACTTTCTTGTGCTCTTGTGGTGACTCATATTTGTACTTGTGGCAATTATTCACTAAATAATGGCTGAAAAAATCGAATTTAACCAAAATTTTGCTGTTCTTTTATCGTCTAGAGAATAAAGTAATAAAAAAACCCTGATACTGAAGCGGCTCTTGCTACACTTAAGATCAATACCGTGATCCTTCTGTGACGTATTTACACTTATTAGGAAATATTAATGTTAATATTAATCGAATTTAAGCCATCGCCAAATTAAACAACAGAACAACAGAATTTTCTGATCTCTTCTATCTACTAGAGTCGCTGAACGCATGCAGTGAAGAAAAGCGAATGGGAACAACGAACCTAGCGTTGATATCGATTAGGCAACGTGTGTTTCAAAATCCCAGTAGATTCAATTGAAATCTGTTAGGCGATTCGATAATAGTGTGAACAGAGTCATCAGCAGGCGCCAAAATCTTATAGTGCCACAAGAGATATAGTGGTTTTATGACTTTGGCTCTTTCATAACACTTGTCAAGGAATAATGCAGCTTACTAGAAGCAACTTTATGACATAATCCCGAACTTAGATCGAAGTTCTGTCTTGTATTTGGCTGGTACGCTTTTCCTAAATAATATCTGATGAGGGGTTGGAAAAGTCAAAGTTGTGAAACCACTATATCACTTGTGCCAGTATACCAAATATTTTTCCTTTTAACTAAAAAAATTAAGCAAGATCTTAGCAGCTAAAATTAATTTGAATTTGTTTTTTTTTCTGTCGTTCTGTATTCAAGCTGCAAATCTTGATAATAGTCGGTAAGTTGCCACTTTCGCAAAAAAGGAGAACATGATATGGGCGTTACACAAAAATACCAAAGAACGACACACTATCACTGTCAGTAGTAGTTTGAAAAATGGATAAGTTTGAGACGATTTTCACAAACGATTAACACAAAAGTAAAAAACTATGAATAAAAAAAACACTAAAAAAAATGCACCATTAGCGTCTATACGTAAAGAAAATCATCCGCTTTTTGCTAATTATACCCAGTAAAAACTATAAACAGCGTAAGTGGAGTCAATCCGGCGAGTTCTCCGAGCGTCTAGCATCTAAACCGATACTTGCCCCACATCCCTGCCTAATCCGTAAAATCGCTAATGAGGATTTTTCCGGTGTTTCGGCAATTTCCCCATCGGCTGCGCACACCATCGCCGTCCATTCCGGTCATTTAGTCGATTAAATCCCTCGAATAAACGGCGAGCTGGCCAATTATTCCGCGAAAATTGCGTATCATTACCTCGTAAACACAACTCACCCGACAAAGCCCACAACTAAATCGCTCCTTTAGCCGCTAATAGCCTCGCGAGGCGGCTCAATAAGACATATCGTTATTAAATAATTAGCCTCGTTTAATAGCGAAACAACAAATTTCATTCGAATTAGCGTTTCCAGGTTAATAATAACCCTGCTCCACTTTTGTTGCGTCGTAGATGTACAATGTCGACGGCGACATGAAAGTGCTTCGACGCCATATTCGCTCCGGAAAAAAATCACTTTCTTGACCCGGCATCGAAATCTCCGAACCGACAGAAGCAACAGATGTCATTTTACCGGTTCTGGGCACAATGCGGAAACGGATTGATCAGGAATGCCAGTCGGGAGTCGGCTTGCGTCGATGCAGGATGTTGACATGTCGACGGTGTGACGAGATTAACTTGTAAAATTTTGGAAGGTTGAGGAATGTTGGGTATTCTGACCGGTGAGAGATGGTGGAACGGAATCTTTGATACGAAACTTGCATTAAATTAATTGAGTTGTTGCAGTGTAACACCGATAATTATCAAGCAGAATGTAATGATTTGGTGGATGGAGAAATTTTTTTTGGTGAAAAAAGTTAATGTGCGGGTAATGGGTTTAAGTATTTATTACCGATGTGAAAATTAAGCAAAAACTACAAAAATACTTATTTAAAAAGTCCACGAATTACATACACATCGACATTAAATCTGGTAGAATGCTGGTGAGTGTTTTCAAAATATTGTGATCTTAGAAATTGTAAAAGTTTAGATTACCGTCGTTG